GTGCACCCCCTCATCCAGTGGAAGGTATTATTGAAGTGAGCGAAGATACACGTATTACGAGGGAAGGAGGAATTCCACAAGGCGTGAGTGAACAAGAGAAGGGAAGGGTTGATCAAACACGTCAGAGGAGAAAGAAGAAGCAATTGGCATCCCGGCCGTCATCGACTGCTGAAAACGCTATGGAGGCAGGCCCGTCAGAAGAGACCCCCATAGGTGCTGTGCCAAGAGAACGGGAACGATCTCCTTTGTCGAGGCATCCACCACCAATCGACCGCCCCACTAGGCGACGCTTTGTGTCCCCGGAGAGAAGGACGTTGGACTTGCTATTCCGACAATCCGGACAGAGAAAGGGGAAGGGTAAACAAGGCCCGACCCCGGACCCCTGTCCGTACGATCTAAGTTCGGGTCCGGGGGATTCATTAAGACCAGATGACGGGGGCGATGGAGGGGCCAACGTAATCCCTGAGATGGAAAGGGACGACATTGACATGGGCCATCTCGTCCAAGATTCCGAAGAAGAGGCTGACGAGGCGTCCCAACAGAGGGACCCTTCTTTCATGACGACGGATCAAGGGGGGTCCCTGTACAATGCGACGGTCCAAAGCTCACTCCAAGCGGTGATGGCAGCGGGCGAATGCCATGTCTGCCCGATTATCCTGTGGTGGTCGGATCCGGAGATTTTGGTTCTCACTAAGGGCATGGACCGGTTCTTCACGTTTACTTCCAAGGAACTTCCCCGCAATTCGAGCATCAGCCGTTAGGTTAACAGATAGGTGGGATCGCACTTTAAAGTCAGAGTACTTCCAAAAGTCTCGATTGGTCACTTCTTCTATCGTCCCCCCCAAGAACCCGAGTATGGACTGTGTATCTATTTCGTGGCAGCAGAATCAAAGAAGGTAGGATTCCCTCAACTGGCTCACAGAGACGCCATGTGGACTAAGTTTTCGTTAATTTTTGGCCCTGATGCCAGCCCGCGAGACTACACGATTGTCAAGGAGATCTTGGCAGGCATCCTGCAGCGCCTCAATTGCAAAATCCCTCCGGAACAGAAGATTGGTTCTACAAACTTTTGCTTGGCGACTGGTTGGTGGAGTTAGAGTAATCAGAGTAATTAGGTAGGCGGAAATAAGTGTTACTAGATTGATAACATAGAGTAGGATCATGTTGAAATTTAGGATTTTATTAGGAATATTGTATTCTGGGATATGGTGACCTACGTAAAATGGACAGTAGGCACCACGACTATAATTAGTAGTTACGATATGGATTATAATGCCCCTGAGATTAAGTACTTTCCCGGCGCTTATTTCTTTGTTTGTGTCTTCTTTCTTCTGATTTCTTCAGACTTGTTTACAGTGTAGTGTTTGAGCGATTTCACTCGCAATTGCTTGTAGTGACGTTTGTTTTTTCTTTTCTCTATCCTATTTTTTTCGCAGTCGCTCGTAGTGACGTTTCTTTACGATCGCACAGTGTACATCCTAGCTCGTTCTGTGTACATCCTCATTGCCCTTTTGGGCGTATATTGTATATTAGCATTTAGTTCCCCTTACCTTGACTTTTTCTGTGTGTATTTGCCCTATCTTGAACCTGCCCTTTTATACTACTTTTACCTTTATTCTTAGATCTATTTCTAAGTTTTTGACGGATCCACGTCAGCAAATCGATATGGGGTCGCGGTCCAAATTAGGCCAGCTGAATGTTCTTACTTGGAATGTTAAAGGTTTATCCACTCGCTCACTGAATCTGAAGAGGTGGGAACTCCAGAGAACTGTGCGCCGACTTCAGATTGATGTTGTTTGTTTGCAAGAAACCAAACTAGGGGAGGGTCTCTGTGCATCTGATGCACCATGGCGGAAAGGTTTCCAGGTATGGGCCCCGGCACAGGGGCAACAAGGTCAGGGCACTTCAGGTGGGGTGGCTGTTCTTGTCTCTCCGAAATGTCGAGGACAAGTAATTGACTGGAACTTCGACTTCGGGGGACGATGGGCTTGGGTCATACTACAATGGGGCCAACGCAGGTGGTGTGTGGCCACGGTGTATGGTCCCTCAGATCTTAGGGAACGTAGAGAACTTTGGGAATCCTTCGAGAGAGTGCTCCCGGAGGTGGATGCTTTGGTAATCGGAGGAGATTTTAACACCACCATTTGCCCAGGTTTAGACTCGCTGACGGTGCGGGACCCCACACCGGACTCGGGTGCACTGCAATCTRCCATGGCCCAACTCGGATGTGTGGACACCTATCGTTCGCTCAATCCGAATGGGAGGGAATTCACATGGCACGGCCCGAATGTAGATAGAAGAAGCCGTATTGATATGATCTGGGTTTCTCTATCGATTTACAGAGTGGGCTGTGAAGTGAGACTGTTGCCCACCGCTCTATCGGACCACAATATGCTCTTCACCTCCCTCCCAGTAGGCGATATAGAAATGGGATGCCCCCCTCCCTCTCTCCCTGCCTGGGTCTTCAAAAGCCCAGAATACTGGCCCCTTATTAGTCAGCACTGGGTTACCTGGATGGAATCCAAACCAGATCAAACAGATGACTTAGACTGGATTCTGCAAGGGCAGCAGTTCCTGCGTGCCTGTCTACTGAAACGGCTAGCACAGAGTTATAGGGCGCACTTGGCGACCGGGCAGGAATACGTCTCTCGGATGGAACAACTGAATGAAGGACCGAAATATGGTCAAGGGGAGGAGGAGTGGTGGGCTGAAAGGTTGGAAGCCAATCGGCTGTGGAAGGAATGGGCGATTAACGAAGCAGTGAGATGGGGGCGCAAATCCAAGGTTAAATGGATTGCGATGGGCGAAAGGATGTCTAAGCGCTTCTTCAGGGAACTGGGAGCTAAGAGAGGCATTGCCACCATGTCAGCAATGGATCATCCATTTAATAACTTCATTGCCCGCCAAGAATCTACTCTAGGTATTCTGGGATGTGTGGTGGACTTCTACTCAGACTTATTTACTGAGGAAGAACAGTGGGCTACGCAGGCTATGGAAACAGAACCACAAGACCAGATCTGGAGTAACATCACTGCTAAACTTGCAGACCAAGAGTCTGCAGCTCTGGAACTAAATATCTCAGTAGACGAAGTCAATCAGGCCATTATGGCCCTACCCAGACTCCGGGCTCCGGGTATTGATGGGATTCCTATCGAAATGTTCAAGGAAGCCCGCCTCTTCTTTGCTCCTCTGCTTGCTGCGGCATTTAATCAAGCTTTTTGTAATAATCGCCTTCCTGTAGGATTCGCAGACGCCTTCATTATCCTTCTCTATAAGAAAGGAGTAAGAGAGGACGTTCRCAATTGGCGCCCAATTTCRATTTWAAATGTCATTTATAAAGTGTTGGCGAAAATTCTGTCTGATAGGATAGGTAAGGTCCTCCCTAGCATCATTCACCCCTCACAGACGGGGTTTGTCCCTGGCAGACAGATTGTCTCCAACATTATGTGCGCCCGTCAAATTTTGCAGCAAGCCGACCTCGACGACCAGAAGCTGGCCTTTGTCACCATCGACCTTGAAAAGGCCTACGACCAGGTACGGTGGGAGTTTCTCCTCCAAAGTATGATGAAAAGAGAAATTGGGCCAGTTTTCTGCAAATGGACTCGATTGTTGTTAAGCAATGCTGGTACATTTATGCAGGTGAATGGTGTTCGATCGAATCGCATTCCCCTTACCCGGTCGGTGAGACAGGGATGCCCTCTGTCCCCTGCCCTCTACGTCATCTACGTTGAATCTCTGCATGATGTTCTCAGAGCAGACCACCAACTCCGAGGTTTGGAGATGACCCCCGATTCATCTCTCAAGTCGACGGCCTTCGCGGATGACACAGGGGCCATCATCCCTGCGGAGGTGGACCAGCTAAGGAGATTGCAGACGGACCTTGAACTGTTTGCCAGATTCTCGGGGGCTCGGGTTAACTGGCAAAAATCAGAGGCTATCCTACCAAAGGACTACGCTACCCCCGAGGGCTGGGACATACCTACTTGGAATGACAATGACAACCTGAGCTTTTCTGGGTGCCATTGTCATGCCCGATGAAGGAGGCACCTGTCAAATGGAATCCTTGGCGACTGCAATGATCACTCGGCTAGGGCGCTGGGCTAAAAGGGCGCACCTGGGGGCCTACGGAAAGTCAGTGGTCCTCAACAGGTGATGTCTACCTTGTGGTATGTTAAGGCCACCCATCTGTCGAAACGCCGTACTTTCCAACGCCTGCGAACTGCATCTCAGAGGTACTTGTGGCCGGGGGATGTGGAGGCAACAGACTCCATCCCAAGAGTGGCGTGGAAGAAATTGATTCAGCCCAGAGTGGAGGGTGGACTGGGCATTATCGACCCGGAATTGCAAATCAAGGCCCTGCAACTCAGAAGTCTGCTCTGGATTCTGCTGGGTATYATGGGAAGTGCCTGGGAACCCCTGTCCCACCAACACATTGCTGCGGCRGCAGGAATCCCTGTGGAGATGGTCATCCTNTGGGAACCCCTGTCCCACCAACACATTGCTGCGGCGGCAGGAATCCCTGTGGAGATGGTCATCCTTGCCTTGGCATGCCCGGCTAGCATCAAACACGTGAAACGCAGCCATGTTTGGTCCACTATGCTTACATGTTGGAAGGAGATCCAGCCTGAGCAATCGCTCCCAACCACGGCCGACGAAGTATACAACCAGATTCTATTCGATAATCCCTATATCTGCACGCCCAAGGGGGACCGGTATGCTTGGACAGGGATCAGGGGTGCCTTCGGGAGGCAATGGGCGGAATGCGGAGTTTTCAAAATCGGCCACCTGTGGTGTGACGAAAGCGGTGACTGGGCCTCAGCGGAGCAGATGGCGGAACGACTTCCCTACCAACCTCACAGACAACAGCGACTGACAGACCTTAGAGAGGCGATTCCCACCCAATGGGTGGACCAGTTAAGGACCGACAGCCTGCAGGAAGGTGAATGGCTTAGGAARAAGGGAGAGTCCCACCCCACTGTTCTGTTTCGCATCACAGGAGTGAATGGGCATGAGGTAGACACCCAGCAATGGGAGGTGCATTCAGGCTACGAGGGATTGGGCTCTTCAATGAGGCCTTGTGCAGGTATAGGGAAGACCACGATCTGCAGAACTGATTTTGAGACTGTCGCAGTATGTAAGGGAGGAAGAGTGGGGGAGTCAACTGAGGATTACCTCCCTTTCTGTGTACGAAGGACTAGGCGACAGCTGTCAGTCGACCCAAAAGAATGGTCCTAGCCCAGGCAGAACCATCACCTCAGAAGAACCCCTCTCCACCACATTACCACGAAGATGATGTACTGCTCCTTGCTTCTTAAGGAGGACATACGAGAGGACCTTGTGGGCAGATGGTACAAGCGCGGATGGGTGCCAGATACCAAGCAGCACAGATGGAAAGCTAGTGTCTGGCGAGAACAGAATGCTTTGCTTAAAGCATTCACTAACCAGAAACAGGCTGCATTGCTATGGTYAATCTATCACTTGGCTGTCCCCACTGCGCAGTGGCAAGMGAGCAAGAGCCASTTSCTCGATACAGGYTGTGCAGCCTGCGGCCAGATGGAGTCGATTCCCCACCTGTTTGTGCAATGCCCACAGGTCAGGGAAYTGTGGCAATGGTGGGAGGGTGAGATGGCGGAGAAAACCCCCCTTGCGGTGTCTGAGGATGATACAGCAGCCATCCTGTTGGGGGCAGTTGTATCAGTGGATCGGGAAGACAAAACACGCATGTATGCAGGGGAGGTAGTAAGAGCCTCTGTACTATGGGCCATATGGACCTCAAGGAACGACAGGATTCGAAAGGGAAAACAAAGCTCGTTTGCTAAACTGCGCCAGCATTCCCTGGAGGGCATCAGAACGGCCATCTCAGCAGAAGCTTCAAGGAGCAGAAGATCATCAACTGTGGGTCTACAAAAGTTCTGGCGTATCTGGGGGGATATCCGGATCTTGTCCGACAAGATGGCCACGATGGAGCTTGGAAATTTGGTCCGCTTTTGACTGTGGATCCGTCATAGTAGGTTTTAGACAGGGCAAAATTTAGTGTATATTAGGATAGGCTGCTTTCTTTCCCCTCTTGTTTTTTCTCTTTTTTCTTTTTCTTTTTTTGGGTCTAATATGGAAAAATCTGGGTTTAAAACTGATAAACAGTACAAATCATAGAAAAATTAAACATAGGTATGGGCCTAGAGTATAACAATTGAATGATGCCGGGTAACAGTATTTGTTCTTATAGTACAACATACTTGTTTGAACTATAGTACAGTCTAAGTCCGGGTATATTGTGGCAAAGATCTGAGATATTATCTAGGTAAGGTTAAGGTACCTTCGTTTGGTCTGATATGATCATTACAAGTGAGTTTTTATTAATTGGAATAGTTAACTGATATTCTAGGCAATTGGACTTAGTACACCTAGTAAGATTAGTGACATATCAATTTCAAGATGTGTGACCTGTTTTGGGGGTTGGTAGACTACGACATCCCCCCCCCCTTGTAGGCTTGGGATTTCTTGTGTCTGCCCGGGTGGG